GAAGAATAAGTGCTTGCAAGTTATCGTGGGAGGTAAACAGGAGCAAACTGAAGGCCAAACAGAAAGAAGCCATTGAAAACAAAGTCTGAAAAATACTTTAGTTAGTCTCTGAGAGAAATTACATGTATTTTTTCTTATATGAATATTTTTAGTTCTTTCTAATTTTTGAAGAAATCTTTATAATTTCTTTACGTTTTTCTTCTGTCAATTATTCCTTCCTTTTCTAGTCTTTTATTTTCCACATTGTTTACGGTTGTAATAGGCCAGCTTGTTGTGGGTTAGTTCAAAACGAATAAGTCAATTTTTTTCTTAAAGCTTTCCTTTCATTTATTGGTAAGCCAAATAATGATTTGCATAGATAGGTGCCTTGAGCTGATTAGCACTTTAGTTTGCTGTCACATGGTGGCAAAGTTGTGTGTTATAAAGAAGAAAGTCCACTCTCTCTTTTCCTGTCTGGCTTTCACAAAAAAAAAAAAGTAATTTTTTCTACAGGGAAACTTTAAGATATATAAATTTTGTTCCACTGAGAAATGATGATTGCTTTCAGAAGTATTTCTTAAAGGGGCTATTCTTTTTAAAGGGAAACCAATGACACAGTTCTGTGAATGAAAGAATGAGCTCTCCAAAATGATTGATGGTGCTGTCTTACTTCTCTTGATCGATTAGTACTTTGGTTCTGAAACTTTGGCCCACACACCATCTGTGTCCTGCAGAGAACTTGCTCCTACAGCCTTTAGAGAGGAGATAGATACCATGATGATAGTTTGTCTGCTTGATTCCTGCTGTTAAATCATCTTAAAAGCAGTTAAATATTCATGAATCATTTTATTAGTTGGACTTCTTCTAGGAAAGCAATACTAAGTGGGGAAAATTTTTTTGCTTCTGAAGTTATTCCCCTTTCTAATATGCATAAATAATAATTAATAACTTATTTATAAAGCCTCATTGACATGACTGAAGTGCTCGGGGTACTATGCAACATCATCAAAACAGAGTCAAAACAAAATGAACAAAAGTTCACCCTCATTAGAGTCGAGCCAAACACAAGAATAATCTCAGAAAAGAAAACAGGTCTGCTTCTCTAATCATGCAGACTCAACATTTATATTTTTTAAGTGATGCTGGGGTTTGAAATACATCAACATAAACCTCAAAGCATGTACAAATAAGGGTGAAGTCTCCTTGTTCCTCCATAAACCTATCTTCATTTCACATATCCTCATAAGTTATCCTAGCTCACCTTTTTCAAACATTATGCATAAACCACAACCTGTAAGGTATCCTGCATTGCTGAGGCTCCGCATGGTGCCCCATACAGCCTTCCCCAAATAAACTGGCAGAAAAGCAGATGTTACTGGACCTGTGCAGTAAATGTTTCAAAATGTGACTTACTTTGTACTGGGGAAACTTATAAAGCAAGGAATTTGGCCTTTCCCACCCTTGCAAATGAGGGCTGTGAAGAAAAGTTCCCTACTTCCTAGCTTTGCAGACAAGGGAAAATCATATTGGTGTAAAGATCACTTTTATAGACAGGTACAACAACATGAATTTCCGTACCATCTGCCACAAACCTAGGAAACAAGGACCCACGGATGTGTATATATTTGATCACTTGAACGTGTTTACACGAGTAATTTTTAGAGATCCATCTGAATCATAGTGCAGGGAAACATCAGTTATTTTTTTTCTGCTGTATCACCAGGTACCACGTCCACAATACAGATTTTTATATATGTAAGCTGGCTGTAAAAAACAAATGAATATGAACTCCTTCCCTGCTAGCCACCAGCCAAATTGTCACTCTTTACAAATAGGTTAAATAGGTTATGGAAGATAAATACAGGAGGAAAAAATAACTGAAAATAACCAGTGAAATTTAGGCTGTCATTAGCAGCAGCTGTTTCTGATAAGGTTCAGCTCTTAAACTATAGAAATGGGGAAAACAGATTAAAGCCATTGCTTTGATGCCTTAATACAGTATCTCTTTAATTTGAGATTACATAGTTCACAAGGAATAAATCCACAAATATTTTTGAATCCTTTAACAGCCTTCAAAAATATCACAGTGTAATTTGCAGAATTCACTCTCATGAGTTGGATTTTAGAAATACACCAATGTGTAGATGATTTGATAGAGAAAAGAGCAAAATCCTCAATTTGGACTTGTATCTCAAGGTGCAACATAGGAATAAGGAATAAGGAACTCAGCTGGAACTGAGGACAAGTATTAATGGTTGAAGTTCAAAGGCATGGGTGGGAGCAGCAAGGATGGATAGGAACATGATTCACTAATGTGCAGTGAGACTGATGAGGGGATGCATGCTCCTGTCCCTCTGTACTTTGAGAACATCTATCCCAATATATCATCTGACTAATTAAACAGTGTTTCACTCAGAGGAGTTCACACTGGATTGGACTGCAGTATAGAGGCCAGATCCAGTGTCCTTTAAAATCCCACGAGAAAGCATTGCAGAAGAATTTTGGCTTTTACACTGTGGCCATCACCATTACAGGGTACACATCACACTCAGTCCCAGCTAAATGCATGCCAGGAGACACAGACCTGAGGCAGGAGAATGCTGTTTTCCTGATCCACCTTCCTGGATTTCATTTTTGTTTGCAAGAAAAGTGATGTTGAGCATTTCACAGCATTCATCTTTTTGAAAAAAATGAAAGCCTTGTAAAAAAAGCTTTTTCACTAAGCTTTGTGTCTGGCATTTTGATGTATAGTCTGACCTCTGATGCTTGGGAATGCTGAAGTTCTGATCTATATCTGAAAAAATTTAATTGTATGGGAGGAAAATAAGAATGATTCTCTTGAATTGTCTATTAGTTTATATAACTGCTTCCCAAAAGCACTAGAAGAAAATGTAATATCCGCAGAATTCACACATAAGTAAAAAAACACCAAGTAGGAAAAGTTAGTCAACAACAGGCTAAAACTTATGGTCAAATATTTCTTTCTCTTAACCTCTACTTTTGTTTTCATCTATTGCATAAAATGTTCTCCATTAAAAAAAAAGGCACATTTGTTTACTTTGTTGTAATTTATTTTAATACCGACATGGCATGAAACATTACAACCTCAATTACTAATCACCTTTATTTTTTTCATCTGATTGTTTTTAACTTTTCAGAACCCCTTGCTGGAGTAAAAATTGTTTGTCATTAACCTCTGACAACTTTGAAAATTGTCTTTGGATTAACGCAAAACAAAGCAATTTGCTATGTCCAATCATCTACCATGAGTTCAAATCTAGGAAGTCAAAGTCCATGGTTTACTCGGAATATACTTAAACAAAGACCTAGGGGATCCACACTGTACTGTACAATCTTCGACTCTTTCTTGTGTGAAATGAGTTTATGCGAGTCTGGTTCATTGCACAAGGCTATTCAGTTTTGTTAGTCTCTTGAATTAGCTTCTAGGTCAGCAAAGCACTAAGAACATTAGAAAAACAAAACAATACAAAACAATAGTGACAAAAAAAGAATCCAAACAAACAAAAAACCCCAAACCTAAACCCTAAAAAACTACATCCTTGTTATGCAAGACTTCCTGCTCACACACTTCTAGTTGAAACACCTCCTTTGAAGAACAGAAATGGGATTGCTTAAAGTATATGAAAGAGAGGAAACAAGGCTAATGATTGTTTTGCCCAGTGGAAAACTCTCCAAGTTGTGTTATGTCAGCTCCTATAAATATCCTAATAGGATTTTCATGCTGCATTGGAAAATTCCACAGCAGCGACTCAGTCTGTTTTATGTGTAATTCATCCCCCCCCCCCCCTTTCTTTTATGGTTGGTCATTTCTTGTGTACAAACACAATATACAGTTTACAAAAATATTTGGTAATTGTCTGAGTGAATCAAACAGTTGTAAAACCTGCATCATGACAAAACTCAAAGCAGTACCAAATTTTGCACTGCTCATGATCATTTTTAAAGCTGCCTGTATGTGTGTTGCAGACACAGACAGCCCACAAGATACAGCAGACAAATGCAAAGCCATTTTTTCTTTTCACAGTATTATTGAAATCAGTGAGGTATAAGGATAAGCAAAAACAGAGAGAAAAGATAAGTCCTTCCCGATTCCGTAGTAGCATCGGGCTACAGTTGTATGTTTATTTTTGAAAAACTAAATAAGTCTGTCTGGTTACTTTGTTTATCAGTGCATTTCTTGACATTTCTAGGTTTAATACACTTTAGGAAGACCCAGAGAGATTAATGAGATGCCTTCCGCTTGAAGCACCCACAAGGTACCACAGAAAGACAAAATTTTGGAGATGGTCTCCCTATGGACTGCCTTGGTAGAGTCACCTGCATCTTCACCTTCATCCATACTCCCCCACATTCCACCAGATAGACACCTACCATCAATGAACAAACAACAGCAGACACAGGGGTACATCTGAAAGTCCTGCCTCCCATTCAAAGCTAAATCGTTTGTACCCAGATGGGACACAGAGCTTCAGTTCCCTGAGGCCAGACGTCAAAATAGGCAGAACAGATTTTTTTAAAATATCATTTCCAGAGGCATAATGATACCTGTCTTTTGAAGCTTAGGCCAGGGCTAGGGTATTTCCTAAAGAAAAGGAATTCCAAAGTCTGCAGCTCCCACTCTAGGATGAATCCATCCATTTCAATATTTGAGTATTAGCTATCTCAGTTACCTTGCAGTTAAAAGTTTGCAAGTTGTTTGCAGCTGATACTGAACTGAAAGCTGTTACTACTTCAAAAGAGCTGTCAGGCACCAGACTGGATTCAGTTGTTTTCAGATATGTCTTTGTCTCCTAAGGTGGGATCCTACACAAAGGATTTAGGAGATGTTGAGGATTAAAACTATGAAGGATTCAAACAGATCAGTGCTAAAATTCATTTTAAAAGGATTCCTTACCTGTCCTACTTCCAGCATGAAGCAAATTATAAAATTGCAATGTGTTGTTTAGTATCTCTGTGCCTTGTTTCCCTACAGCGGATGGCAGCCAAAATCTTCATCCACTGTGGTACAGCACAGATTGTGCAGCCTCTCCTTGCCAGACTTCAGGGATACTTCTCAAGGTGACTGCCCTCATCCATACATCTGGGATCCTGATTCACAATCAGGATCCTGGAATGAAAGCCAACATATTACTGTCAGTGCACTATGTTAAAATGCTGATGCTGCAGAGAAAAATAAGAGTAGAAGGTTCTGGATTCACAGACTCATTCAAAAGCAATATAAAATAAGTAGGGAAAATGACTAGGTGGTACTGAAGCACAGCAGTGCCCATACTGAGAAAAGAGAGCAACTGTTTCTTTCTGCTGATTTAGAGGGAGGCTGCCAAGGCACATCCAGTAAATCACTGTTGTTCAGAGTCATCTTAACAAGGTTCTCTAAAAGCTGAGTTTGATATACAGAAGAAACACTAAACTGATTGTTACATAATAATAATTGACTGCAGAAGAATGGAGTTTATATGGCAGCTAGGACTGTATTTTGAGTTAGGGAAAGCTTTTTATTCTGTGTATTGAAGCCTAGGGCTTTATTCTATTGGAATTTACTTTTTAAAATGGCTCAGAAGGCTGCCTGTCCTCACAGCCTGTTCTGGGGACAGTCAATGGGCAGCAGTGCTGCAGAAACACAAAACAACTCCAAAGTTTTCTAAGAAACATGGCTAGAAGGAGGAGGAGAAGCAGAGTCTACTCAAGACACAAGTCTGCAAGTAGCTACAAATGAATCTGAAGAGGGATGTTGTGCCAGTGAAAGTAAGGAGGGATAATGTGCAAAGCAGCTGAAACAATTATGTTTTTGTGCTTTGTAGGTAACGATGCTAAAATCAAACACACGGGACTATTTTTAGCTATTAGAAAACCCAAGCAAAATGCTCCAGGCAGCTGCTAGCTCTTCTGTCTTGAGTAAACACTTGTTTTTGTCAGTTTGATGCTCAATCATCAAAATTTAGAACTTCCTACTTTTCATTTTCCCCTTTTCCTTTCCCTTTCCTTTTGGCTTTCCCTTTCCCTTTTCTCATTCTTTGTCCTTGTCCTTTCACAGCTTTCTGGAGCCTGCTGTTTTTAAGAGGAGGAGCCGCCCCTGAACCATTTCTCAGTTCATAGGTATCTGAGATGTCCAAATGTTTGATGCACCTGATTATCTGTCTGAAAGCTGAGTTGGATTTTCCTTCTACAGACAAATATTCCTCACAGAAGGAAAAAGGACAGTGAGAGGAGAGGGGAGGTCATGGATGGAGTTTTAAGTTTGTTTGCCTCCTCCCCACACTGAGAACTTCTCAGTCCTAATAGCTACGTCCTTTTGAGGATACAGTACTTTATTTGCTCCTTGATGCCAAGGCAAAAAAAGAGGAAACATGACTGGTTTGTATGTTGTTCACATTCATTCTCTCCTCCTTACTGACCTACTCTAAATAGTATAAAATGAGTCAGTCAATTTGGAGTAGAGCATAGATCACAAGAGGTTGTTGAGGATGGTGTCACACATTCAGATGTCTGGGACATAGTGTTATCCATGGTCCATTCTGGATTGTTACTACAATCAAACACTGCTATGGGTCAACACTGAGGAAATTAAAGAAAGAATTTCCTTCATTGGAACTGATGAGAAACTGCTTAGAAAAGCATCTGCAAGGAATGGTGAACAGGATGCAGGTGATACATCCTATGTCCCCCTTGAGGTCAGAAATTCAGACTGTGTAACCAAGTGGACTTTAGCATAGATGACATTCTAGCATATCACCAGTTAGATAATTGATGTACAGCTAGAATTTCCATCCATTTAGTTGCATGAGGGTTGAGTTCAGGACCTAGTATGTTTCTGATATTTCTCACACCTGAGAGTTAGAAGCTTTGTTACATCTCAGGGTGTCATATCCTGAGGGCATTCAGCACATGCTCCAAATAAAAGGGGCTTTTGCAACTACTGCTTTTCCTCCTGGGGACAGGGAGAGGAGGAAGTGGACAGCATTCAAATGGTTATGGTCTGGGTAAAATTTACAATCTTTCCTCCATTTTTCAGTCTGTCAGAGCCATTCAACAGCATGTGTCTGGAACAACATGTCCAGAAAGAATTGCTGACCTCATCAGTAAGTAGCAAGTTCGTTAAGGCACACAGGCCTTCTTTTCTGGAAGGGTAAAATGTGCCGCTGACTCATATGGGCTGCACAGTCTAATCCTAAATTATTAAGAATGACCTAGATTCTGCCATTCTGGCTTCTGCTGATTAACATCGTACTCTGCAAGCAGTTTAGTCTAGCTTAAATGAGGCTGCATCTGCAAATTAATTTTCAGTATGGGAGAATCATGTCTTATAACTCTAACCATGGTTCCAATAGATCCAAACAGGAATTATAACAGGCAGCAGAAGGATGAAAATAAACTTGGTCTGGGTTCAGATTGGTCTGGTGAAAAAAGAAAAAAGACAATGAATTCACAATTCTTGCTTATATAAATAGCACCTGTTCTAACAAATTTTTTGTGCTTATATTTCCTGAATTATCATGCTTCCAAAGTGCCACTTTTTTCAGAACATAAATGACAGCACTGACAAAAAAATTAACGCAGGCTGTCACTATATATATGGTTATAATCTTTAAGCTTTGCAAGAAAAAAATTGTTGAATTCCTCTGATAATTCTTAACCTAAGCACACTTGCTCAGTCCTAGCTCGATGAGAGAACTCCTTCAGCAACAGTACAAGACAGATATCTGCTTATTGGGGCTCAAAAGATTGTGATCTGCAGTACTAGTGGTGTACTCCAGAGGTAGATAATGGTTCCAATACTTCATCAATGACTAGTCAGTGACACAGACTGAATATTCAACAAGTTTTCAGACAATACAAAACTGAGAGGAGTGGTTGATATGTCAGAGGGACCTTGACAAACTGGAGAAGTGGATTAACAGGAATCCCGTGCCATTCAATGAGGGGAAGTGCAAAGCCCTGCTTCGGGGGGAGGATGAACCCCTGCACCAGCACAGGCTGAGAGCCACCCATCTGGAAAGCAGCTTGGCAGAAAAGGCCTCAGGAGGCCTGGTAGACACCAGCTTGGACATGAATCAGCAGCGTGCCTTTACCACTAAGAAGGTGAGTGGTATCCTTGGCTGCATTAGGCAAAGGAAGGTCCGTAGGTGGAGGGTTGTGTTGTTTCCTCTCTATTCAGTGCTGTGTACTGTGCAAGAGACACACTGGAAATACTGGAAAAGAGACTAGTTAAGTGCACAAAAATTATGGGAGTGCAGTAACTTTCATACAAGGAGAGAGTGAGAGAAGTGGGACTGGTCAGCCCGGAGAAAAGAAGGCACAGGAGGTCTTACCAGCATACATAAATGGGAGGGAATGAAGAAGAGTGAGAAAGACTCTTCTTGTGAGTGCTCATTGATAGGACAAGAGACAATCAAATTGAAATACAGGAAATAGCACTGAAACATATGAAAAAAACTATTTTACTGTGGGGATGGTCAAACACTGGCACAGGTTATCCAGAGAGGATGTGGAGTTTTCATACTTGGAGATATCCAAAACCTAAGTGGACATGGTCCTGAGCAACCTGCTACAACTGACCTTGCTTGCAAAGAGGGGTTGTACTAGACAATTTTCAGAGGTCCCTTCCAACCTCAGGTCTTCTGTGATTGTGTGATACTTTTTACACTACATCAGAAATATTGCAGCACTATTTTTTCATCTTATTTGTATTTTCATTTACAACATGTCTGCAAATAACAGACATATTTTTTTTGCTCATAGCAATAAAAAATTTTGTTCTGGCTAATAATTCACTAGTGCTCTTTAGGATTTGTGTAGCTTTAACCACACTTAGGCTTCAATGGCCAAAACTCAAGATGCTATCTTCTGTTCAGGACAACACTGAAAGACATACCTGAAAAATACCTCAGCACGGTGGATTTAAACAAGCTCTTTCCCTAGTAGGACCCACACAGCAACTCACAAAGTGAAGTGATTTAGCTGATGGGTGTCTTTCCAGGATTTTCAAAGATGTTGACAAGATAGACATCACCTTTAGTCTGCCATTTTTTACAATACCCTAAGCAAGCATTGTAGGTATCTTGATTGCAAACTCTTGAAAATTAACAAGGCTGAGAACCACACCTGGCTAATGTTGAAGCATGAGGCGCAGGAGATGGGGAACACAAGTCCACTTGTGGCACCTGGTTAATTTCCCAAACACGTAAAAACATTTGCAAATGTGGTCATGATCTACTTAGAAAAGTGAACAGGCTGGGAAGAACAAGCATGAGCAACATATTTATAAAATCAGGACAAGACATACATAAGTAAAATTTGCAAAAAGTCTTTGTAAAGCTTCTTACAGCTCATTCAAAGTTTCCCTCATCCATTGAAGTCAAGACAAGAACAATACAGATTACTGTTCTATTCAACTAAACCAGATGGGATTCACCCATTATTACAATTCCAACTACCTAAAGTACATTTGTCTCTTCTCACTAATCCCTCTTTCTCTGACATTAATGCAAGAGTCATTGTAATGGGTGGGCTTGCTATGAAGAACTCAATAGTAATAAAAAAAAATACAAAAGTTGTCATTCTTGTATTCCTCTTGTTATTGAGGAATAGAATTATACTGTAAATTAAATCAGATTTTATGACATTTTGCATGCATATAGATCTTCATGTGAACTCAGGGGAGCATACTTTATTTGAGCTCTGTATTCCTTATACTTTTTAATTAATTTTTCTTTGTAATTCAGAATAAGTTTCTAATAGATTCCTGGAACAATATGGGGTCACATGGGGGTGATTTTAATACCTGCAATTCCCATGGTTATTAATCAAAGACTTTTTAGCCTTTTAGATAAATTATCTGCCTTCTGTTTAGAAGATTGAGATTAAGCATGTGAGAGAAATTGTCCCTACTGACAAAAGGAAAAAAGTCAAGAAAAACAGAATGCAACATTTTGGTTATCTCACAGAACTACAGAATATGCTGCAGATTTTCAATTTTGTTTCATCTAGATTCATAAATATAACTTGTTATGAAAATAGCAATGATTCTTAAAAGGATTGTTTTTCCTTTACTGACTATAAATCTCAGAAGGTATCAGAACCAGTACAACTTTTTTTAATTGATGATTTATAGTTTACAGGTGACAGTTTTTTCTAAGAAAAGTCACTAGGCTTTTTAAACATCTAAAAAAGAAAAAGAAGTGTTTATTCAACAAGTTTAGTTGGGAATGTAAATAAATTTGCATACTATCCCCTTAGACAGAGGTGAATCTACTGAATGCTGAATTGTATAGAGACATATTCTGTGTGATTGATTTGATACCTCTTGATTTCATGAGGTTCAATAATTAGAAAAACCTGATAGATTCTCTGTTCACTAAAGAGGCAAAAAAGTTTGTTTTCCATACTTTTTTTCACTTGATCTAGAACGGTGTAACTGTAGACTAAGGTCCTTGAGGGCTATGAAAGGGAACATGCATCTGAATTGATACATTTAATACTTTTCTATACATACAAATATATATATCCTAATATCAAATCTCACAGTTCTGCTCATCATTCAACAATGGTTAATCTGATATCAAGAAGTCTCAACAAAATAAAGTACTTAAAGTAGATGTGGACTTGACATCAACCTTTCAGATGCAATCATCCTCAAGGCATGTGGAAATTCAATGCTTGTCTGTAGCTTACCTCTATCTCTCTGTCAAAAAGAAATTAATCAAATCTCACAAAAGCACTTTAAGTATTTATAATAGCCCTATTATTAAAACGTCTAAGTATTTCACAGATTTTCTTCACCGGAGGAAGGACCTAACTTACCTGTTTGCTAACCTGAGGCACAGCTGCCCCCAGAGGACAGTAGTCTTAGCTATTCAGGTTACTCAGGGTGTATGTTGGTTGTTCGAAGTCATGCAGAAGTTTGTCACATGACCTGGACAGTGCTTTCCTAAATCTGAGGCTGTTACCCATTCTGCATCCTTTCTTCTTTCTTAGTCACCAACCACACATAAATTGGAAAATAGCAAGGAACAGGGAAGACAAAACAGCAAGTCAGCAAAAATTATCAGCAAGAAATAAAGAAACATAAGTGGGTAAACAAACCATAATACATCCTCCAAATTTATCGCCAAAACAAATTGAAACACTGAGAAACACTTTTCACTTTTATCCCTCAGAAGCAATTTTCTGAAAAGAGAAAATACCTTGATGAAAGCCACAGAGAGAGTCAGAGAAAAAAGACATGAGATGAAGAAAACTGTCCTTGAGGACAGCCCTACACAGTGATGTACAAGATTCTCCATGTCACTTCTTTCCTCTGGACAGCATTGCACATCGCTGTGTAGGCTGCATTTCATAAAATCGAAAACATCTTCAGAAAAATACATTTACGCACATTGTAGTTTATAGGGTACATACTTCATCATTGTGATATTATGTCTTTTCTTTCTCAAATATGTCTTCATAAGCCTCAATATTTGTACTGCCAACAAAGTAAAAAGATTAGTTTAAGTACAAGTTTTCCTCATGTAATGCAGAATATGTAGTACACATTTTGCATGTTCATAAAAGGAAACTGTCAAAATACATATTATATATACATGATATATTTATCTATACTATAAAATGGAGGAAGAGAAGAACACAGACTTCAGGAACGTGCATATCTCAGCAGGTCTTATTAAGGTGTAAGAGTATTACTTGCATTCAGTGCTCAGGCTCAGCATTTTGCAGAGCATTCTGAAAGTGAAGCAATTATTCACAGAATCACAGAATCAGAGAATATGCTGAGACAGAAGGGACGCACAGGGACCCTTGAGTCCAACTCTTAGCCCTGCACAGGACATCCCAAAGAGTCACACCATGTGCCATTTTCACGTGGTTTTTCACTATTCATTTGCCATGATCCTTTCATGACCTTGTGGGCAACTTTATGACATTAAACATGGCATGAGCATATTTGTCTAGTAACTGGAAAACTAAAATGGTTATTAGGCACATCATCCAAATTTTCCGTAATTCAACCATCAGCTTTGTTCAGAATCACAAGTGGCCGAGTGGCTTAGTCTCAAATGTGAAAGAGAGGGAGGCAGT